CGCGAGATTTCGGCTGGATGCACGTACTCCGCTACTCCGCCGTGCCTTCCAGGAGCCCACGAAAGTGGCGACAGCTGCGCACCTCGCAGCCACCCAAGGAACTGCGAAGTCCCGCGCACTCCGCTACTCCGCCGTGCTTCCCAAGAGACTGCCAGGTCCCGCGTACTCCGCTGCTCCGCCGTGCCTCCCAGGAGCCCACAAAAGTGGCAACCGTTGCGTAGCTCGCAGCCACCCGAAGGAGCTGCGAGGTCTTGGGGACTCCGCTACTCCGCCGTGCCCCTCACGAGACCACGAAGGTGGCGACAGGTGCGCAGTCCGCAACCACCCAGGGAGCTGCGAGGTCTCGCGTACTCCGCTACTCCGCCGTGCCTCCCAGGAGCCCACGAAACTGCGCAATTGTCGCTACTGCTGCCTGGGTGGCGGCGGACTGCGCAATGGTCGCCCTTTTCGTGGGCTCCTGGGAAGTCCAGCGGAGTCGTAGGCCACGCGGATTCATTTAGGACCTTGCTGCCCCCTGGAGGCTTCGAACTGTGCAACTATTACCACTTTCGCAGGCTCTTGGGAAGTCCAGCGGGGCCGGAAGCCATGCGGACCCATTTGGGACCTCGCTGCTCCCTGGGTGGCTGCGAACTGCGCAACTATCGCCACTTTCGTGTGCTCCTGGAAGTCCAGCAGAAACGGTGGCTACGCGGATCCAGCCGAGATCTCGCAGCTCCCTGGGAGGCTACGAACTGCGCAATTGTCGCCACTCTCGTGGGCTCCTGGGAGGCACGGTGGAGATGAGGGCAGCCCTGATCGTGCATACCTGGCGATATGTTCTTTTGTATGGAGCGTTCATGCAAAGATCCGCCTCGCTAGGAGAAAGGGTTGCGTATGTCTCGGGTACTGCTTTCATTCCCAGCGACGGCACCACACGGCACGCGAGCAGGGCACAACACGACACGGCATGGCAAACGTCCCGCGTTCTCGAAACCAAACACGGCGCGGCATATGACGGCACGCGGGCACGGCACGGCACGGCACGCTGGCGACAACTTGTTTTCGCACCCTGGAAACCCGGCAACAAAACACACGAACGCTTGCGCGCCTCTCGAACGCAGGCACGGAACGGCACGCGGACACGGCACGGCACGGCGCAGCAGCATATCTCTCGCCCTCTACCGCGCGAGCACGGCGCGGCACGCGGGCACGCCACGGCACGGCGCACACGTGCCTCGCCTTCCAGAACGCAGGCACGGCACGTCACGCGGGCACGGCACGGCACGACGCGGCACGGCACTCGCTGTTCAGGGGACAGCTGGGCTGACTTTCGCCTTCGCTGCCTGGGGAACCAAGCACGACACGGCACAGCACGGCAACTCTCTCGCGGCCCCCGGAGCCAAGCACGGCACGGCACGGCACGCACGCGGGCACGAAGGCATGGCTCGGCAACTTCCCCGCACTGTCGACACCAAACACGCAGCGGCACGGCACGACACCCGGGCACGGCACGGCAAGGCACGAAGGCGGCAACTGTTTCGCATTCGTGACTTCAGAAAACCCTTTTCCATCTTTGATGCGACCAAACCCCTTGCAACATTCAGCGTTCAGGGAAACAAGCGTTGGGCCGTCTTGCGTCAAGAAGCGGGCGAGATGTTTCACTTCGAGGTCATTGCACCAGGCTGCGATTGTGCTGCTCGGTTCTTGGGGCCGCCGCACAATGTTTGCAGCCTTCCTCGCGTGTTCCATGAAGGCATGGATCAGAACCCCGTCGCTGTACGCTTGTCGTCGTAAGCAACACAGTCGTGAGCCCCCGACTTCGCACTGGCAAATGCCGACCAGCCGCTGTGCTGAGCGGCACCGAGCTCGCCATACGCTGCCGGGCCTAGCAAGCCCATGAGAAGCATTTGGAGCAGCTCGACGTTGACGAAGGCAACGCCCGCGTACCAGGCCGAGGCATGCACGTGCTGTGCTGCACCTTAGATGGGTGCAGCATGGAACACGGGGCCCGAAGCAAGAGCGAACAGCTTTGTCGCTGGAGCCGAGAGCTGACATGGCACGGCACGGACACGCATGGCACGCGGGCACGGTACGCCACGGCACTGTGCAACGCACAAAACGGCACGCCACGGCGTACGGCACAGCACGGCACGGCACGCGGGCACAGATCGACACGGCACGGCACGCGGGCAGCACCTTTTCTGCAATCCAACAGCTAGGCACGGCACGGGGCACGGCACGGCACAGCACGGTGCGCGGTCGGCTCGCTTTTCCTCATGCCAAAAATTACTTTCAGCACGGCATTGCACGCACAGCACGCAGACACGGAACGGCACAACACACGAGTACGGCACGGCACGGCACAAGGCCGCACTGTTTTCGAATTCTGGGTGGAGATCGCCTGTCTTCTGCCCAGAACTGAGACCTTTACAACATTCGCTGTTTGGCAATGCTGCGCGAACCACTGCTTATTTGTTATAGCTCACAGCACGTCGACGCAATGCAAGACATGTGTAACGCGCGGATGCATAGATCGCATTTAAAACTCAACGCGGTGCAATACGAGCTCACAGAGCCCCGAGGGCCAATGGATTAGGCCAGTGCAAAAATTCAACACGATGGGGCAGAGTGCGCATGGAAGCAAAACACCACCAGCCCCGACCGCCTTCCCGAGCGATTGCACATCCTTTTTGCTGCGAGCGGCGGTGGTCTAGCCTCATTCCGCGGGCGCCCAAGGGGCCCTTCCCGCCCCAGCCCTGCTTTCAGGGACCGGGTGGGTGGGCAAAACTGCGGTTGTCGCCGGGCCTTGGGCCCAAACGGCGACGAACGCCAGCCAATTCCCCTACCCGCCACCGAAGCTGAATTGCACCCCGCCCCTCTTAGTTGAAATTTCATACATACTTCGTTGGCATTTCAACACGATGGGGCAGAGTGCGCATGGGAGCAAACCACCACCAGCCCCGACCGCCTTCCCGAGCGATTGCACATCCTTTTTGCTGCGAGTGGTGGTGGTCTAGCCTCTTTCCGCGGGCGCCCAAGGGGCCCTTCCCGCCACCATGGCCGCGGAATTCGCCGGCCCAACGGGCCAGGCCGTCTAATTCGCGCGCGCGGGGCGGCCCCTGGGGGTCCCCGGACGAAAAGTACCCCGGCAAGGTCCCGGCAAGGTCGGGCCAGAGATGCCGGAGCCCTGTTACAGGGCCCCAGGACGGGCCAAGAGGTCCCCAAGAAGCCTCCAAAACGGTCCAAGAGGGCCCCGAGACGGCCAAAGATCGCCCGAAGACGCCCAACAGGGCCCCAAGACAGCCCAAGAGGCCTCCAAGACGCCCCAAGGGCCTTCCAAGAGGCCTCCGAAGAGGGCCCCAAGAGGCCAAAATCGTTGATTTTCATTGTTTTTTTCGATGTTTTTTGCGTTCTGGCTTTTTCGGCTTCCGGACGCTCCAAGACGGCCCAAGAGGCCCCCAAGACCGCTCCAAGACGGCCCACGAGGCTCCCAAGACGGCCCCGGAACGGCCCAGGAGGGCCCCCAAGACGGCCCAAGTGCCGCCCAAGACGGACCAAGAGGCCCCAAGACGGGCCCAAGAGGGGCTCAAGAGGGGAACCGAGAACTGAAAAATCGAGCCCTCCGCCCCAGAAGGCGCCCAGGAGGCCCCAAAAAGGCCCCAAGAGGCCCCCAAGAGGCCCCAAAGACGCCCCAAGAGGCGCCCAAGAGGCCCAAAAGAGGCCCCAAGAGGCCCCAAAACGGCCCCCAAGAGGCCCCAAAACTCGGCTTGCCCACAACGGTGCGACAATATGGGCCGGCGGAATGAGCGAAGCGATGATAACAGGCCTGCTCCTGACCCAAGCTGGCGCGCCGCCCTCCCAGGGTGCCCGCCGTGCCTGGCTAACTGAAGCTGGCGTGCCGCCCACCCGGGGCAGGCCGCCTATCTGGCCCGCCTGCAGGTGGGGCCAGCGTGCCGCCCAAACGGAGCAGCCCGCCAGGCACGTCCACCGGGCAGGGACCGAGAAGCGAAACGAGCGAAGCCACGCTGCCGGGCACAGCCACACACGCGGATGCACCAGGCAGGGCATCGGCCACGCGGCCAGGGCAAATGTTAACAAACTGCTCTCCCCCCGGGGAGGGGGGGGACGATTTGTTAACCTCTGTCCCCGCTGCGTGGCCGATACGGGGCGCGCCACCCAAAAGGGGCAGCCCAATCCGGCTGGCCAGGAGCCCGGCGTGCCGCCCTCGGCAGCCCAGCCAAAGCTTGATACAAATCGACCTCCAAGCCGCAAGCCCGGCGCGTCGCCCTCCCGGGGCAGCCCGGCCAAGGCTGGGCTGCGACAAATCGACATCCAGGCCACAAGCCAGCCGCCCTCCCTGGGCAGCCCGGCCAAGGCTGAAACAAATCGACCTCCAGGCCGCAAGCCAGGCGCGCCGCCCTCCCAGGGCAGCCCGGCCAGGCTGTTACAAATCGACCCCCCAGGCCGCAAGCAGGACCAAGCGCGCCGCCCTCCTGGGGCAGCCCGGCCTGGCGGACAAATCCGGCGCGCCGCCTTCCCGGGGCAGCCCTGCCAGACTGCCTGGCACAAATCGACCTCCAGGCCACATCTGCAAACAGGCGCGCCGCCCTCCCGGGGCAGCCCAGCCCGACTGACGGAAGTATAAAAGCCCCGACAGGCACAAATGGACTTCGAAGCCGCGCGCGCCACTAGGCGCGCCGCCCTCCCGGGGCAGCCCGGCCCCTCGCGGGCTCAGCGCTCAGCTGACGTCGACGGGCAACGCGATGCAGAGCAACTGCGCCCCTCGCCTGACGACGTATCTGACAGCTGCGGCCTGTCGAAGCATTTAGAGCAGAGGGCGTCGGCGGGGAAGTCGGCAGCGCTCGCGCGCCTCGTGAAAGTCCACATGGCGAACTTTACCCCGCACCTCGCGCGCCACATGGGGGGGGGGGCAACTCCACCCCCTCGGCCGCAACCACGCGGGCCTTGTAGCGCCGCCCGCCGCACCGAGCAATGACGCTCTTCTGCTCCGCGGGCGCGAACTACTCCTGAAGATGGTCGAGGGACGAGGCGAGCTCGCGCCGAAGCGCTTGCTCTCTGCCGTCAGCGGCCGCGGCGTGCGACTCCAGTCGCGCGGAAAGGCCCCGGAGCTCCTCGCGCATGCGCCCGGCGATCTTGAGATGGTCGCGCCGCGCCTCCAGAGCGGCGACCTCTGCGGGGAGGCGGTCGAGGGGCGCCTCGCCAACGTAGCGTGACACTGCGTCGCTCGGCCACCTCGCAAGCACCATGATCTTCGAAATCTCGACGCCGAGCGAAGACAACCTCTGAGCGCCAGTGACTCTGAAAGAGTGTCCGCCGCACAGCTCGGCGCCGGCGTCAGAAGCGACGCCGATGTTCGCTGCGACGAGGGTCCGCTCGAGCGAATCCACGATACCAACCTCGAGGCATGCGTCACCACAGGAGGTCGGGAAGAGCGGGCAATCTGGCGGCCAGGGCGCCCCGAACGTGCCCTTGAGGAGGTCGATCTGGCGCACAGCGGCGTGGTAGGGGCAGTCAGGTCGCCGACGCCCCTCCCTGCAGAGGCAAGCCCACGTCCTGGCGCACCCTACGGCTCGGGGATCAACTGTGGACACCGGCAGACGCATGGATATACTGCGCCCCTCCTCGTTCCATGTGACGCGGGCAGCACGGGGCGCGGCAACCTCGATCTCACGCATGACAAAGTAAGTGGCGATAACGAGGAAGTTGGCCCAACCCACGGGGGCACCTGGCCCCGGCTGCTGCTCACCACGCCCAACCACATCCAAGGCCAGGATAAGATCAAAGGGCGCGGATTGCCGAGCAACGCCGGCACCGCGCAGGGCGGACAAGGCGGACTTCCGGAAGGCGAGGTCGAGTTGGGCACACCAGGCGCGCCTTGCGAGGACGTGCATCTCGCGGGCCCTGGACAAGTAGCCCTTGAAGCCCTCGTAGCCCCCCTCCATGAAGCAGGCGGACACGGCGAACACCTGATCTACAGTGAGTGGCAGAGGGTCCAAGTCCAGGCCAAACATGGCCTGGTGGAACTCCGCCCATGTAGCCCATAAAGAGCCGGTGGACGCTCGGCTGCTTGAAGCGCCTATGTCCTCGACGAGCCCGGCGACGACGGCCTCTCGATCTCGTCGGAAGCCACCGCCCGGGTGACTGCGGATCTGCATGCCCGTTTGACTGGCCGCGAGTCCGGCAGATCCGCGCGCTGCTTCGCGGACTTCCGCCCAGCGGGCGTGCCGGGCGCAGGCCCCGTCCACGCTGCTGCCGGAGAGCACCCGGCCGCGCCTCCAATTGCGGCAGTCGCCCCAGACCCCGGCGAAGACGAAGATGACCCCCCTGGTGCTGCAGGCGAGGATCGGCCCTCGCGCGCGCCAGGTGCGGCAGCCGAAGAGGAGGCGCAAGCGGCCGCCGCAGCTGTCATTGGAACGCCACCTCCGCCTCTCCCCTGAGGGGGGCTTCGCTCAGCTCGGGCGCGCGCGCCCCGTTCTCCCCGCCGTGCTCGCGGATGCCCCCCCCCCTCCGCCTGCTTGCCCTTGCCCTTGCCCTTGAGCGCGGCGGCTCTGAGGGCCGGGCCGAGCGCGACAAATGCGGCGCCCCCATCACGCCGCAGGCGCCCGGCCCACATGCACTGGGCGGGCTGGGAGGGCCCCCGCGCAACGAGCGCGGCCAGCCCAAGAAGAAGGACGCATCGCGCGGCCTGCGAGCGCCTCTCCGCACGCGGAGCAAGCTGCCTGGCATTTCGGCGCCTTCTCCGATTCGGCTGAGCGCGTCGCACTCGAAATCGAACATGCCAGCGAGGTGCTCGGGGACAACCTGCACGCCCGCGCACTCCAGCCTCAGCGCGATCTCCGCCGCCACGGCGTTCATCGCAGGGGCCCCCCCCGCGGCCCTCAAAAGGGCGCGCAGCGCCGCCGTGGCGCCCAGCTGGAACAGACACAAGGTCTGGCCGCGCAGACGGGGCAACCACGTGTCCACGGCCGGGAGCGCCGCGCACAGCTCCCACTCGGCCTGCCACGCGGGGCCCCCGCGCGCGGCGCTGAACAAGGCTAAATCTTCTGCGCTCCACTCCCCAGAAATCCAAGCAGCCGGCCAGTCTCGGCAGAACAAAATCCCGCCGAAACCGAAAGGAGAAGCGTCCGTGCGCACGCGCATGCGCATCGCTGCGCTCCTGGACGCAACGTCCGCCAATCTCTGCACGGCGAGGTTGCCCTGCGGCGTGCCGACGATGCCAGCGAGCAGCAGCCTGACCCACTCGATGGCCTGCCTCACGCGCACGATGAAGAAAAGCTGCGTGGGCCGTTTCTTCGCGGAGAACTTCGCAGCCGCATGCTCTGCGACATGCGCGGCGATCACACCCCATAGAGCAGAGTTGAACGATCGGATCAAGCCGCTGGCCCAGGACAGCTGTCCGGCGAGCTGCTGGACGGCCTTGATGTTGACCATGCCCGTGGCCTCGCGCAGCCTCTCGGCGCTGCTGCGCATCTCTGCAACCTTCTGCAGGGCCAGGGTGTCGAGGACGCCCCAGCGCCTCGCGCGCTGCTCGAGGGAGACCTGGGCGCCGATCCACGGCACCGCCTGCCCTCTGCGGGCCTTCAGCCACTTAAATTTGAGCCCCAAGACGTTCCACAGCAGCAACAGCGCGCCCGTGAGCCAAGCCCGGGTCGCTGGAGCCCCCCTCGTGGCAATGGCCGGGTCGTCGACGAACACCTGGATTCGGAGCTCCTCTGGGCGGAAACC